CATTCTGCCTTGCCAGTTCCTCCGTCGCATCTCGTTTCGTTGCTAGACCGTGGATTTTCATGGATCGGAGTGAATCCAACCGTTGTACGAGCTCTGTCAGCATCAGCAGTATCACCGATAGCTACAGTGACGACAGCAGCAACAGCCGAAACGGCAGACGCGCGGGTTAGAGCAGCAACAGCGGCAACGGCAGCAACAGCAGCGACAGCAACCACAGCAACGACAGGGCCGGGAATATGGCTCCTAGCCAGGTCCACGTCAGCGCAATCATTGCCAGTTAGATCCGATCCAAGCCGATCGGAGTTGGAACGTGTTGGGAGTTGCAGTGCGGCTTTTCCTCACCTCTCCTCTCACCGCGATGCTCTGTTCGCCTCTCCTCTCGTTGCGACACGACCTCTAAATGAGGCGGGTTACCGGGAAACCAGGATAGTCTTAAGCGAAAGAGCACGAACGTGCATTATTAACAGTTCCGTGAGCATCGGATCGCGGTCCATCGCTACTAATCCCGCGTCAAATGACACGTCGGATGCCGCGTCAGATCCATCCCTCCCGCCAATCAAGCCGTACGACGCTCTGTTTCGCGATCCTCCGAAGCCTCTAGGCGTGGGTCCCAATCCCAAGGTGGTATCTACACCCAAGGGAGGGGTGTACGGCGCGGTGTTGGGCGTTCTAGGGTACTATTCCAAGGAGAGTGAGTTAATCCGCGGCGCGAACGCGCTCTACAAGGCGGTGACGCGTCAGGCTGACGACGAGATGTTCTTAAGAGGTGGGCTGTGGTTATGCCACCTGGTTATCCTGATTCTTCAAATCAGTGATATAGTAAGCTCGTCTCTTGAATCTCAGCCGCCTAATACTCACCTACTCCTCCCAGCTCCCATTCCCACTTCCCCGTCTTCCCCTTCCCCACGCCTCACCCATCCCTCGCCCTCCCCCCCGCAGCGCTCGGCCTCCCCTCGCAGTTCCGCACGCACCACGCGCTGCTCGTGCTGCACACGTGGCTGGCGCTCCTGCGCCTGCGCAAGGAGGGCGCGCAGGGGGCGGCGGTGGGGCAGACGTTCTACGACACGTTCAATCACGACGTGGAGCGCCGCGTGGTGGCGGCGGGGGTGAAAATGCTCGTCAGCAAGTGGATGCGCGAGCTCGAGCGGAGCTTCTATGGCGCCGCTGCTGCTTATGATGCTGCTGTTGCGCCTGGCGCGAGTGCTGACGCTCTACCAAAGGCTCTCTGGCGGTGAGTGCTACGCTTTTCAGGTGAGGTTCAGGAACCGGGTTAAGTAGGGAGCGCAGGGGCCGGAGGGGGCAGTGATGGGGCAGACGGTCGGGCAGACGGTCGGGTTGTGGGGAAGACAGTGGGGCAGACTGTGGGGAAGACAGTGGGGCAGGCGGTGGGGCAGACTGTGGGGAAGACAGTGGGGCAGGCGGTGGGGCAGACTGTGGGGAAGACAGTGGGGCAGGTGGTGGGGCAGACTGTGGGGAAGACAGTGGGGCAGGCGGTGGGGCAGACTGTGGGGAAGACAGTGGGGCAGGCGGTGGGGCAGACTGTGGGGAAGACAGTGGGGCAGGCGGTGGGGCAGACTGTGGGGAAGACAGTGGGGCAGGCGGTGGGGCAGACTGTGGGGAAGACAGTGGGGCAGGCGGTGGGGCAGACTGTGGGAAAGACAGTGGGGCAGGCGGTGGGGCAGACTGTGGGGAAGACAGTGGGGCAGGCGGTGGGGCAGACTGTGGGGAAGACAGTGGGGCAGGCGGTGGGGCAGACTGTGGGGAAGACAGTGGGGCAGGCGGTGGGGCAGACTGTGGGGAAGACAGTGGGGCAGGCGGTGGGGCAGACTGTGGGGAAGACAGTGGGGCAGGCGGTGGGGCAGACTGTGGGGAAGACAGTGGGGCAGGCGGTGGGGCAGACTGTGGGGAAGACAGTGGGGCAGGTGGTGGGGCAGACTGTGGGGAAGACAGTGGGGCAAGCGGTGGGGCAGACTGTGGGGAAGACAGTGGGGCAGGCGGTGGGGCAGACTGTGGGGAAGACAGTGGGGCAGGCGGTGGGGCAGACTGTGGGGAAGACAGTGGGGCAGGCGGTGGGGCAGACTGTGGGGAAGACAGTGGGGCAGGCGGTGGGGCAGACTGTGGGGAAGACAGTGGGGCAGGCGGTGGGGCAGACTGTGGGGAAGACAGTGGGGCAGGCGGTGGGGCAGACTGTGGGGAAGACAGTGGGGCAGGCGGTGGGGCAGACTGTGGGGAAGACAGTGGGGCAGGCGGTGGGGCAGACTGTGGGGAAGACAGTGGGGCAGGCGGTGGGGCAGACTGTGGGGAAGACAGTGGGGCAGGCGGTGGGGCAGACTGTGGGGAAGACAGTGGGGCAGGCGGTGGGGCAGACTGTGGGGAAGACAGTGGGGCAGGCGGTGGGGCAGACTGTGGGGAAGACAGTGGGGCAGGCGGTGGGGCAGACTGTGGGGAAGACAGTGGGGCAGGCGGTGGGGCAGACTGTGGGGAAGACAGTGGGGCAGACGGTGGGGCAGACTGTGGGGAAGACAGTGGGGCAGGCGGTGGGGCAGACTGTGGGGAAGACAGTGGGGCAGGCGGTGGGGCAGACTGTGGGGAAGACAGTGGGGCAGGCGGTGGGGCAGACTGTGGGGAAGACAGTGGGGCAGGCGGTGGGGCAGACTGTGGGGAAGACAGTGGGGCAGGCGGTGGGGCAGACTGTGGGGAAGACAGTGGGGCAGGCGGTGGGGCAGACTGTGGGGAAGACAGTGGGGCAGGCGGTGGGGCAGACTGTGGGGAAGACAGTGGGGCAGGCGGTGGGGCAGACTGTGGGGAAGACAGTGGGGCAGGCGGTGGGGCAGACTGTGGGGAAGACAGTGGGGCAGGCGGTGGGGCAGACTGTGGGGAAGACAGTGGGGCAGGCGGTGGGGCAGACTGTGGGGAAGACAGTGGGGCAGGCGGTGGGGCAGACGTTGTACGACACATTCAATCACGATGTGGAGCGGCGGGTGGTGGCGGCGGGGGTGAAAATGCTCGTCAGCAAGTGGATGCGCGAGCTTGAGAGGAGTTTTTACGGCGCTGCCGCAGCCTATGATGCGGCAGTGGCCCCTGGTGAGAGCGCGGATGCTCTCCCCAAGGCCCTCTGGCGAGCATCCGAGCGCTGAGTCCTATGGGTTTCGGTGGATGGGGGGGTGAAGCAGCTGATCAGCAAGTGGATGCGCGTGCTCGAGCGCAGCTTTTACGGCGCTGCTGCAGCCTATGATGCGGCTGTTGCACCGGGCGCGAGTGCTGATGCTCTCTCCAAGGCGCTCTGGCGGTGAGTGTGTGAGAGACAGGCACGTATCAGGTGTTGTATAGCAGATGAATTCCCGTTAGGAGGGTGCGCTGCGTAAAAGCATATCCGTTTTAAGCTCTTCAGAGACGTCGCACAACACTTTCTCATATCTCAACTACTCTCAGAACAAAGTTGATTGACACGATGCAGCAGTTCACCCGGCTCTGGCCTTTTCCCTTCAAATCCGCTTTACCCTCTTGAACTGACGTGCTGCAATGTGTTTGCACAGACGCGTCTGACATGCCCTCTGGTACTGCAGCTTCATTAAAACATGTGTTTTTTTCTCTGGCCTTTTCACACTTCTCGAAACGATGCGAACTCATTTGATGAAGCAATCTTTGTCTCTCTGACTCCCTTCCCACGACCCTCACTCTCCCCTCTCCCCTCTGCCGTGCCTCTCAAATTGCTGTGCAGCAATGTGTTTGCAGAGGACGCGTCTGACATGCCCTCCGGCCTTGCAGCTGCTCCCGTGCAGGTGAGAGAGGGGGGGTGCTGCCGTGCAGGTGAGAGAGGGGGGGTGCTGCCGTGCAGGTGAGAGAGGGGGTGAGAGGGGGAGTGCTGCCGTGCAGGTGAGAGGGGGGGTGCTCCCGCCCCACCCCGCCACACCAACCCCAATCCCCTTCACCTCCCACCTTCACCATTCCCATTCGCTGCCAACTTGCTTCCTCTCACCATCTCTGCTGTTCCTCTCTTTGGAGTTAGCTCATAGCCCCTCATGCCCGTCTCTCTTTGCGTTGCTGGTTACCACCTGCAGGCTTTGACGCGTTACGTGCGGCTTGAGCTCGCCTCCCTTCACTCACAGGTGATGTTACATGTGATGGATGTGGTGTGGGGTGGTGTGGTACGGTGGGGTGTACTGTCGTGTACCGTTGTGTGGTGTGGTGTGGTGTGGTGTGAGGTGAGGTTAGGTGAGGCGTCAGCAGGCCACCCATGTGATTAAACGCCATGCATTCCCGCATGTGTGCTGTGTGCACGCATTCGTACAGCCCACCATGATTCTCTGATCAGCTATGCCGGAGTCACTTGTGAGAATGCTCAAAAGTGGTCATCACGGCTCTCTCATCAGCTTGGCTCATGGAATGAAGCTACCGTAACAAGTTCCCTCATCTTTTCTCCTGGTGCAACTGTTCACGCTGTGTTCTCCGCACTTTCCTGTTTTCCAGACTCTTGAGTCGACTCAAAAGTCAAGTTTCCTCATCTTTTCCCTGATGCATCTGTTCACGCTGTGTTCCCCATACTTTCCTGTTTTCCAGACTCGGAGGCAATTCTCACTGGCAACATCACCTTCACCAACACCTTCCATGCAGAATCTTGAATGTAATAGTACAGCACAGTATACTGCAAAAACACTTCAATGTTACACTGTATGTGTAATCCGCAGTTTCAGCTACGAAGCTAATCCCAGTTCTACAACAATACAAGAGCAATTTCTTCACTCAAAACACTTCACAACCTTCAGCCCGCCAAATCATTCACTAGGGCTGTGCTTCTGGACTGTAGTGGGCACTATACTGTTCCTTCCTATCCCCGAGTAGTGAAGGGCACAACCCCTCGCACCAACATCCTGGGTTTCTCCCCTTCACTTCCAGCTGCGTTGAAATCACTTTTGAGAATTCTCATAAGTGATTTCAACATAGCTCACACCAACATCCTGGATTACTCCCCTTCACTTCCAGCTGCGGCTGCAGCCTAGCTAGCAGCTGTGGAGCTCTCCTCTGCATGCCTGTCTCCTGTACCACTCTCCCTCCACTTTCTCAAAGCCCCCATCAGCCCCCCAGTAGGCACTGATCCGCTTCGCCTCCCCCTCTCCCGCCACCCCAGCGCCCGCCACCCACGTTGCTGGCAGCTCAAACGGCCTCCCTGCCACCAGCTGCAGCGAGCGAGGAGCACACATCACAACACCGACAGCACCAACGGCCTCCCTGCCAACACCACCACCAGCTGCTGCTGTTGCTGCTGCTCCTGCGGACAGGCTCATGCCTCTCTCCTGTACCACTCCCCCTCCACTTTCTCAAAGCCCCCATCAGCCCCCCAAGTCGGCTGTCATTCGTTTCACCTCCCCCTCTCCCGCCACTCCAGCGCCCACCACCCACGTCGCTGACAGCACAAACGTCCTCCCTGCCACCAGCTGCTGTTGACGAATCAGAGGCTAGGCTCTACCATACCATTCCCCCTTACGCCTGTCTCCTGTACCATTCCCCCTCTACACGTTCAAAGCCGCCATCAGCCCCCCAGTAGGCTGTAATCCTTTTCACCTCCCCCTCTCCAACCAGCCCAGCACCCACCACCCACGTGGCTGACAGCACAAACGGCCTTCCTGCCACCAGCTGCAGCGAGCGAGGGACGCACACCACCACCCCCTGGGGCAGAGAAAACACCTCGTACTTTTCCTCGTCTCCTTGAGGCACCCGCCCCATGAACCCTGCCGCCGCAGATGCTGCGGCAGGTGCAGCAGCGGCGGCACCGTTAGGGCTCCATTCCTCTGCCCAAGACACGTTTTCTCGCTCCTGAACCATCAGGTTGCGGGTCAGAACGGTGCGAGTTCCCACCACTGTCTTGTCATCTAGTGCCGGAACGGGCGGCAGGTGGCCGGGCAGACGGGACGAGAGGCCGCCCAGGCCCCACGTGGGCGAGACCCAGTCTGCTGGGCGGCGTTCGTTGGTGTCTAGCGAATCTTCTACTGCGACTGAGGTTCGGAAGGCTCCGTCTGCTTCGTACTGAATGCTGCAGCCGAGTCGGGACGTGGTTGCTGGAGGGATACGGGAAGGGGGGATTGAGGGGGTTTGGAGGGGAGATCGTGCATGAGAGGAGGAACGGTGATCTTCCCTGAAGGCTCCGTCTGCTTCGTACTGAATGCTGCCGCCAAGACGGGTTGCTGGAGGGATATGGGAAGGGGGGATTGAGGGGAAGGGGGGATTGAGGGGAAGGGGAGGGGGTGCATGAGAGGAAAGGTATCGTTTTTGGAAGGCTCCGTTCTTGTTCATACTGAATGCTGCAGGGTGTCTGCTTCCTAGAGAATCCTCCAAAACACCCTGCAGTGCAGTGTTTGGAAGGCTCTGTGTGCTTCCTAGAGAATGCAGCCGCCGAGACGGGAAGCGATTGAGGAACGCGAAGAAGAACTCGATCATAAAGGCAGCTTCATACCCCCAGCCCCACCCCCCACCTCCAGAGGCGCCCAGGTGCCCTTCACGTGTCTGCAGCAATCCCCTTAGTTTCGATACAAGTAGAGTAGGCCTGACTGACTCACTGTGGGCGAAGAAGAATTCGATCATAAAAGGCACCTTCATACCGCCCGCCCCATCCGCCACCTCCAGAGACGCTCGGATGCCCTCCGCGTGTGCATAGCAATGCGCATACATAGTTTTCATACAAGTAGAGTAGGCCTGACTGACTCACTGTGGGCGAAGAAGAATTTGATCATGAAAGGCAGCTTCATGCCTCCCGCCCCGTCCGCCACCTCAATGGGCGCCCAGATGCCCTCCGCGTTCCGGCTCACGACGTAGCGGCGCGAGTTGCTGGCCGCCACGTGGCAGAATCCGTCTGGCAGGCTGTGCTGTGCAAGCGACATGTCCCATTGCACGCCCACCTTGGGCATGTATGCAGGCATCTCGCCCTGAAAATCGTACCAGTCGTTCTGATGGTGCGGGGGGAGAGGGGGAGAGGGGGGGAGGGGGAGAGGAGGGGAGAGGGAGAGGGGGAGAGGGGGAGAGGGGGAGAGGGGGAGAGGGGGAGAGGGGGAGAGGGGGAGAGGAGGGGAGAGGGAGAGGGGGAGAGGGGGAGAGGGGGAGAAGGGGAGAGGAGGGGAGGGGGAGAGGGGGAGAGGGGGAGAAGGGGAGAGGGGGAGAGGAGGGGAGGGGGAGAGGGGGGGAGGGGGAGAAGGGGAGAGGGGGAGAAGGGGAGAGGAGGGGAGGGGGGGGAGGGGGAGAGGGGGAGAGGAGGGGAGGGCAGGGGAGGGAGAGTACGGAGACGTGTCAAGGCTGTGCTGTGCAAGCGACATGTCCCATTGCACGCCCGCCTTGGGCATGTATGCAGGCATCTCGCCCTGAAAATCGTACCAGTCGTTCTGATGGAGGGGGGAAGGGAGGCGTGGAAAGGGGAGGGAGGCGAGGGCATGGCAGGGGAGGAGAGGGAGCGTGTTGAGGCGTCTAAAGACTGTGGCAGGTCCCAATGGGCACCTGCCGTGGGCATCTGTGGAGGCAACTTATGAGTCGACTCAAAAGTCACCAGGTCCCAATGGGTACCTGCCGTGGGCATCTGTGGAGGCAACTTTTGAGTCGACTCAAAAGTCACCAGGTCCCAATGGGTACCTGCCGTGGGCATCTGTGGAGGCAACTTTTGAGTCGACTCAAAAGTCACCAGGTCCCAATGGGTACCTGCCGTGGGCATCTGTGGAGGCAACTTTTGAGTCGACTCAAAAGTCACAAGGTCCCAATGGGTACCTGCCGTGGGCATCTGTGGAGGCAACTTTTGAGTCGACTCAAAAGTCACCAGGTCCCAATGGGTACCTGCCGTGGGCATCTGTGGAGGCACCTCCTCCTGAAAGTCCTACCAGTCATTCTGACAAGGGGGGAAGAGCAAAGGATGGCAGGGAAGAGAAGGTGAGGAGATTGAAGGGGAGGGGAGGGGAGGGGAGGGGAGGGGAGGGAAGGGGAGGGAAACGGTGGGAAGGGGAAGGGGGAGGAGGTGAGGTGAGGGAGAGGGAGAGTGTACGGGTGACTTATGAGGCGATTCATAGTTCAAGAGGTGCAATGGAGGGGATGAAAAAGGGATGGGGCAGGATGAGAGAGCATTGACAAAGCTCACCACGTGGGCGATACTCGGTGACCTTTGAGTCGCCGAGGGGGAGGGGGATGGGGTAGAATGGAGAATGGGAGAGCATTGACAAAGCTCACCACGTGGGCGATACTCGGTGACCTTTGAGTCGCCGAGGGGGGGGGGGGATGGGGTAGAATGGAGAATGGGAGAGCATTGACAAGCTCACCACGTGGGCGATACTGGTGCGATCAGGTGACGTGGCCCACATCTTCCGCACGGATTTCATGGATCGGTTCTCGTCCGTTGATTCGAGCGGCTTCCACGATCGCCATTGGCCGTGAAAGTTGGTCATAAGGCGCTCCGGCGTGCCCCACCACCAGTGCTCCTCAGGAGTCATCTGACGGAACGACGTGGCTTCTCTGCCGTCAGATGCTGGGACAGGGACAGCAGTACTGCTACTCGAGCCAGAAGCCATGGCGGCTGATGACGTGGCGGAGGATGACGTGGACGCGATGACGTGTGGTTGGATGGAGGACGTGATTGGTCGGGGAGATGACGTGCAATGCTTGCGTGCACCTGAGGTGGTATAAGTGGGGGAGAGAGAGGAGGAGCATGAGGAGTTTCGGGAAGGGGAAGTGCAGCAGGAAGCGAAAAAGAGATTGAATGCAACGCTTTCGACACTTTCCCGCAGACTTTCGAATCCCGCCGACTGTGCACACTCGCGGCGTTCAACCGACCAAGCTTTATCGTGGAGAGCAGTTCTAGACGCGCATCAGGAATGCGTTGCCATGCACCATAGCCGTTGCCTCTGGGGAATGACGTAAACATCAAAGGCCAGCCAAGGCCAGAACGGTCGGGTCGCACCTGTCAGGCTCACATTCGTCGCAACGGGTCGCCCCGCGAATTCCGATAGCGAGCAAATCTGACGAGAAGCCGCGACGCCACGGGCGGCACTCTCGGAAATGCTGCTGCTGCTAATCGCCACGGCACTGGTCGAGGCGGCGAACGACATGCTGTATTGAGAATTCAGAAACGGCAGCAGATGGGAGTTGTGAGGCGTTTAGAGTGTGCTAGTGAAGATTAGTACAACCAATTTGCCGATTTTAGTAATCGTCATTCTTCGTGGAATCAAGCAAGGCGGCGTGTTGCCGATGGATGCAGTTACAGTCGATGCTCACCTTATCCCGTATCCAAAGGCCAGCACAGTCAGAAAAACAGTCACTCGCGAACGTTTTTGCCCGTGAGTGACTGAATTGAGCAAAGGGGTAGAGTCACCAAGTTGCAGAAGGGCGACGTCTACAGTTAAGAAAAAACAGGGGTTGCCCGTCGCATACGTCATCGCATACGTCATCATACAAGGGTTAGGGTGCGTTCCTGTCGAGACACTTGTGTCTCAAACCCTTTGTGACACCGGAAATCAGCATATGTCGTAGTGTGTCACAAACGCGGACCGCATTACTTCGATTCACACAGTATTTTACATTGGTTAGCGGGAATTGCGGGGGTGTCGCGGACGAGTTACATGAGGCCCCGTCACCTTGCGGAAATTGCACGCGTCCCGAAATGTCACCCTGTACTGCATGCACCTGGACAATCGAACAGGGCAATTTTCGAGCGGGAAAGGAAAACCGCCCTGCCCCTGCAGACAGATGACTGGTGGATGCGACCGTCATGACACATCCCTGCCCGACTTCCAACACACCATTCCAACTACGCAGACAGCACTCACCCGCCCCAGTCCATTCTTGTTCTACAAACCCCTGCTCTCTCTCCTTCATGTTTCTTGTTCCTTCTTCCCAGCCGTAGCCATGGCCCGAAAGCGCAAGAGCGCCGCTAGCACTGCTGACTTGTGCCCGCGGGATCTCAACGAGATCCCGTACATCGCTTGGATGAACAAGCAGCTCGCGGCCGGCCGCAAGCCCGCCGGCCCCCTGCCCGATGGTGCGCCCGGTGCGGGAGACACCTCGTTCGAAGCCCCGCGTGACGTGCCTACCCGCGGACGCCCTCATGCCGACCGGGTTGCATCATCCCGCGTCGTGGACGACGAGGCCTTCGACGACGATCCTGATTTCAATGACTGCGACGAGGCGTACGACGACGACGCGGACTCTGGCGAGGAGCCGGACAAGGGCATGTCCCCCTCCGAGGACGAAGACGATGGCGACGAGGACGCTGAAGACGACGAGGACGTTCCCGAGGAGGCACAACCCACTACCCCGCCTACCCGTCGCGGCCGTGCGTCTACTGCGGCCGGAACCAAGACTGCCGCAAAGGGCGGAGAGCCTCCTCGTGGCGCGTCGAAGACGCGCAACCTGAACCCTGTCAGGCGGAGCGTGTGGTCTACCCGCGAGAGCACCATTTTCGTCGCAGCTCGTTGGTTCATGAAGGACGAGCTGGGCGCTCTCCTCGGCAAGCAGGGATCCCAGTACTGGGCCCGCCTTGTGCGTCATCTCGAGCAGGAGAACCCCGGGTGGGTCCGCGGCGTGAACGCACTGCAGAAGCAGTGGCGCAACCTCGTTAACGTGTACAAGCAGATCAAGAAGGGGGAGAAGGCGAGCGGCAAGGGGGCGGTGTGCAAGCCTCCATGGTACCCGTACATGGCGCTATTCCAGAACAACAAGGCTGTTGGTAACCCACACGCTGTCGACGGTGGTGGCGCGGCTCACGTCAACGTGCCGTGCGGTTTCGCGGTCCCGTCGCCATCAGCACCATGCACATCTTCTCCGACTTTCACCGGTGAGTTTGCAACAACTCTGATGTTCGGACCTTTACGTTTTGGTGTGGCACTTGTGCAACTTTGTTTTAGGGTAGGGAAGAAATGTGACGTAATATCACACACTAGTCAGCTACTGATACAACTCTACGTGGCTCACGTGTGCAGCACCAACGCCGCAGGGGACGCCTACGTCGAAGCGCCCACGGGTGGTGGAGACCGCAACGGTGGCCGCCGCCAAGCTGGTGTGTGACACAATCAAGGGCTGCCACTCCGACGCGATGAATCGTATCGAAGTCCTCGTCCGCGCATGGATGGAGCAGGATGCGCGGATTGCACGCGAACGCGTGCAGCAGCCCGCCCCCTTCCCGCCTGCCCACGACGGCATCCCTGGGCATGCGACGCCCGCCGCCGAAGGAGGCGACGACGGCTGGCTCCGCCGCGGGCAGGCGGCCGACAACGCCTCTAACCCTGATGCGGGCGAGGATGTGTGGGTTCGCGGCGCCGACGAGTGAGGTAAGACGACTCCAGAGCCTCGCCCAACCGCTTGCGCCGTTCTCGCAAATTAGCCTGCGTGCACGGGTTGCACGGCTCCCACTTGAATTCGCTGACTGCACCACGAGTCCACCACGGGTCTCGGTTTCGGGGCAAGTTCGCCCACGACGCATTCACCCGCCTAACCGCTCCCATCGTTTCACACATGTTGTGCAGGATGACGCCACAAGACGCCCCTGCAAGAATGCGCCAGAGCACGCAATCATTGCGGCCCGCGAATAGACGCCACCGGCCCTTGAATGCGCCGATGCAACGCTCTACTGCCATGCGCGTAGCGCTTTGGCAGTAGTTGAAGCACTGCTCCCAGTCATCCATTACGGGTGCATGTAGGGGGGTCAGGCAGAAGTCCCTGAGTGGGTAGGCAGCATCTCCCACAATTTGGTATGGCGCAATGTCGCCGTTGTGCAACCTTTCGTGTAACGCGCTGTTTATGAACACCCTCTGATCGTGTGCACTGCCCGGGTATCCTACCAAGTAGTCCCAAATGATGCCGCGAGCATCGCATGTGATCTGCAGCTGCACGGCGTAGCATGACTTGCGCGTGTAGTACTCTTGCCTGTGCCCCTCCATCCCCTTCATGGGTATGTGTGTGCCGTCTATAGCCCCCACCACCGCAGGGACTCCCTTGATGGCGCGAAACTCCTCCGCCATCTCATCGAGGTCGTCACGGCTCGGGAAGTGGACCCACTGCTGCTTGAAGGCCGTCCGGAAGTGCATGAGGAGCGCATCTACCAGCGTGTGGCACAGCGTCTTGGACAGGCCGAAGACTGCCGACAGGTCTCGAAACGACATGCCGCTGGCCAGGTATTTGATAGCCACAAGGCATGCCACCTCGTGCGTGATCAAGTATCTGTCAACGTAGGGCTGCATGTAGTGCGCCATCCCGTTGACAATGTAGTCAAGAATTGCGCGGTTGATGCGAAACAAATCCCTGAATTCTTCCTCCCCCATGCCTTCCAGGTCCTCTAGCAGCAGCTGGTACCTGCGCCGGCGAAGCCCTGACCTCCTTTTCC